GTTGGATCCTTACCTTGGTCATGGATTTCACTGTTGATTTCACCAACCGGGTGTCAGGGACGTGATCGCTGCCAACCACGTCACTTGGCAGCAAGAAAGCTTTCGAGAGGTCAAAGGCCAACAAGTGCTCCTTATCGCCCTTGACAGAAGCATTTGCCGGGATATCTTGGCCCCGATGCTTGAGCTGCGGCCGCCATGGTGGAATGGGATCAGCAGTGTTGGTGGGTTGCTCGGTTGTTAGCTCGGCAACCAGCTCGGCAGTTGGATCTGCGCGAGGTCTTTTGCCTGCTCGGCGGGGTTGGCTGGATTGCCCGGCAGCTGGAGATACCAAGGCAACCACAGGGCCGCTGGATTGACCAGCAGCATAAGACGGGGGAGAAATGCTTGGTATTTCGGCGGATGTGGCTGTGAGGAGATTCTTGATGCAGCTTCTTTTAGCCATCTCTTGTTCCTCAGTCAGCCAGATTAGCGGAACGTCTAGCAGATTTGGGTCTGGAGAAGGAGTTGGAGCGCAGAGAAAGTCTGTAACTTTACTCCGGCGTGGAGCTGAGTATCTGTAGGTTGGGGTGTAACCGAGCAGCTCGTTGCAATCTCGGTGGCGATGGCGGAGCACGGTCCGGATTGCCTCTACATTGGGAAATTGGTAGTTGGCTTGCAAGGCTTGGATTGCTACAAAAGAAACAAGAAAATTGGTTAATTACAGAATAAAGGTAGGCTGACCGAGCAAGTTTGAGCGACTTACATGAGGAACCGAAGTTCTTGCTTATAAACCAGCCCGGTACGTCGGCTGTTTCGTAATTACCTGACACCCAGAAAAAATCGTCGTCGTGCAAGTCTTTATCCGGGGTGCCAGTTATAATTTTTTCCTTGCCCGGTCTGATTTTCAAATAATAGGCTAGGTTGTCACCGGTGTGACCCATCGTGTATTGCCTTAATATCTCAGCTAAGCCTAAGTTGGTGCCTAGCCGGTTGTTCAGTTCATGGACGCCGTTGATAATTCAGTAAGTGTTGGTGGACACTTGTGTGGGTGCCGGCCCGGTACGGCGGAGGAACTCGGTGATAAGTGGGTTGAGTGGGAAGCGGAGGCCTCCTTCGATGATAGATAGCACAGTGAAGGGGCATTGTTTTGATCTGCCCCAAGGTGTTGTTTGCTCTTCTGCAAGCTCAAGGTGGACGTCGGCCGGGATGCCGTACTCCTCCCTGAACACGGCCAAGGCGGCCGGAGTATCTACGAGGAAGCGGAATTTCCCCATTTACGACCGGCTAAATTAGCTCGGCTGTGGTTTGGCACTGTCAAGTGATTTGTGGCTGCTTGGTCTTTGGGAGCCTCAGGAATGGTCAGTGGTCCCCTTGGACTCTGCAGGAAAAGGAGGGCAAGTGTAAGAGGGAGCGCGGTCGCGCAAAGCGAGCTTCACTTTAGCTCGGTCGTCTAGAGTGCCAAACCACCTCGGTCGTAGAGGCTAACCAAGGAGCTCGGCCGCCCAGGCAGACCAGATTTTAGCCCGGTTGAGCGGCCAAGACCTTTGTTATCCCGGTTCTTGCTATGGTTAAGTCTAACAGGTTATTTGCTCGGTCGGGATGGTTTTTTGGATCAAACGAAGACCTGGAGCCCGGTCCGCCACAGTTCTTCGAAGTTCATCAGCGAAAATGAAGAACACCATGAATAGTGGGAGGTTTGGGACGATTTCTATGGCCTATGTCCTAAGAACTACGTTTTATTGCCCTATTGTGTGAAATATCAAGGAAAATAACAATAACAAGGGTTGGAGGGCTTACCAATATGGAGCAGTGGCTGCTTCTTCTTCGAGCGCGAGTTCAGGAATAGCAGAGGAGAGGGAAGAGCTCTAGGTTGCTTGGAATGGCAGTGAGTCAGTAAGAGCTCAAGGAAGATGAGGGGGGGAATGTTTATAGAGGAGACGAGACCGCCCAAATTCAAATTCTGGCAAGACGGCGGGTTGGCTGCTCGAGAACCAATGGCAGCCCGCCACGTGTCCCCATTTATGACGACGTCAGAACTGAAGAGACAGGTTAAAGAGTTGAGTCAACCGGGCTACTTTTGAAGAAGAGGACTTTAACCGAGGAGTATAACCGGGCAAGTTCGCAGACAGGAATGTCAACTAGCCCGGTCGCCAATTCGCATTCTAAGGACCGAGGAAGTGTTATCCCGGTCGAAATAAGTAATCCCAGTCACGCTTTTGCGGACGGAATTAAGGGGCAATTGAGAGGGAGATTTATGATCTGAGATTAGGCTGTGACGTTAGCCGGACAGATTTGGGCCGAGGTATTGGGCTCTAAGATCAGGCTGTGATATTGCTCGGTAATGGCAAAGCCCACGTGGAACCGAGTCATCTGATCTCAGTTCCGCGAAGGCCGGACAGGTAGAGGAATAGCCTAGATGAGGCTCCCCGGCTCACGCATTGCAAGGTTGTAATGCACGCACCTTAACCCGGTAGAAAGGCCTGTGCTTGGAGCTTGGCCGAGATGGTCTTTGGCTGACCGGCGTTACTAATCTCCAGCTCAGCTTCGCCGGAATACAGTTGAGCACGGCTGGAATTAAGCCCGGTAGTAGGGAACTACGACATCAACTGCACTTGGGCATGTTCAGTATGGCCGTTGATAGCCGAGATAATGTTGCCCGGCTGCCGTGCTCTCAACAGAGTGGGCTGGCAGTTGGGTTAGGTGATGTATAGCAAGATTTGTGCTGACAGATGGGATAACAGAGCCACGTGTCGAGAGACCAATGGGAGTAGATTTGGGGCGCGGAAGGGTATATAAGCATGTTTGCGCCCCCCATACGCGAGACAGGAATACTTTGTAAGGAAATTCTTACACTCATACACTCCTCTCTCTCTCTCTATCCTAAGGTGTGCGCTAACTTGATCGTCGGAGGGTTTTTCCAGCCACACACCGCCGGGTAGCTCACCGTTATTTGCTCGCAGGTGACCGGATAAAAGTGGAGCTTGGAAGAAAGGAGTGCGGGCTTACCTGAATATTTACTCCCCGCACACATATAATTTGAATTTTGTTTTTGTGTTCCTTTTTGCAACCACAAGTTTCTCTCCAGATCTAAATTCAAACGCAATTATTGAAAGAAAAATTATTAATAAATCTTAATAGTTAGAATTATTGAAAGTTAGTCTTAGTAAAATCGTCACTAAAATTAATTTTTTGTGACGATTTTTTGAATATATCGCTAAAAATTAACAATTAGTAATTTTTTGATTATATAAATTATCGCTAAAACTTACAATTAATGACAGTTTTTTGTAACAAATTTTTTTAAACTATCGCTGAAAATTAAAAATTAGTAACGTCTTTTGTGATAATTTTTTAAACTGTCGCTAAAACTTATAATTAGTGACATTTTTATAACACAAATTTTAAACTATTGTTAAAAATTAATAATTAGTGACTTTTTTTTAATAGTGTTTGATGAAATATACCATTAATTATCACTGGATCTAATGGACAATAAATCCACCTAGTAAAACTTATAACATAAGTCTCCCATTATTGAATTAGTTCCATCTTTCATTTAAAAGAAGGGAAAATAAGCAATAAGTCCTATTTTGTTAGGTTGTTTGGTATGATAAATATAAGTGCACTTATTTAGATAAGTGTATTTTTGGTCACATAACCTCTCTATTTTTTTAAACATATTTTCTTAAAAAATCAAAAAATATACTTATTTAGATCATTCCAAATAAATCATATTTTTCATAATATGGACAACTAAATCATATTTTTCATAATATATTTTTCATAGGTCGTATCGAGTTTCAATATGGACAACTAAATCATATTTTTCATAATATATTTCTAAAAAGTTAATTACTCTATAATGGTAGATGTTATCTCAATTTTATCCATTATTTAATATGAACAACAATTTTATAAATATTTTTGACAAAATAATATTTTTTAATTGTACAAATTATGATATTATAGTTAAAAAAATCATAAATCACGATGAAAAAATTATCATCAGGTTCTATTTTGTTTTGAAAATTACTATTGAGTTATATCAAAATTTAATATTAACAAATAAATCTTTTATTTTATTTTATAAATTGTTATAAAAAATTCTATTGTTCATAATAGTATATTTTATTTTAATTTTATCTTTTTCATTAAAATATGAACAAAAAATTTGATAAATAATTTTAATTTACTAGAAATTTTATAATTAAATTATTTTTAATTGTTCAAATTAAATGATTTTTAATAAACAAAATTATAAGTATAAGATTAAAAAATTTTACAATTAAAATTTTCAATTTTAATTAAGTTAACATTATTTATAAAATTGTTATTCAATACATTGATATTCCCAAAAAATGTACTATCAAAAGGGTAATTTTGGAAAATTAACTTTTTTCAAATGCAATAAGTGTACTACCAAAAAAAGTTGGATTCCCCAAAAGGGACCAATATTTTGGGACGGAAAGAGTATGTTTGTTTTGACATTTTGTTTTAGGATTATCAATCCAATAGATAATTAATCTAACAAATTTGTAGGATTATTAGTAATGGGGTAGGGATGGGATTGTGAATACCACACTAATTTGATTGGATTATTAATACCTCACTATTAGTCTTATGAAATCAAACATGACCTGAATGTTATTGGTTAAAAGTATTATGTGAATAATGTTACATGATATTTCAAGACTATTAAATAATTACTTGTGTTTCATATGTGTTGAAATCTTTATTGTATAGAACAAAAAAAAGGGTTGGGCATGTCTTGGAACGGTAACAATCTTTTGCGAAAAAATTAAGAATGACGATAGGTTGTTAAAAAAAATCTTAGGTGGGGATTACATGACAAATCTCTGTTAATCAGTTTTACAATAGATTGATGGAAGAGTTACATTACAACTTGATTAAAAGTATAAAAATTTGATTGTTACAATTAAAAAATGAGAAATCAAAATGAGATTTGATATAAAATGCAATAGTGCCAAATGTATTGCACCTTTATTTTATTTTTCAAGAAAAAGAAAAAGAAAAAGGCAAATAAAAATCTTCACAATTATCAATGATTTTAGATAGGGAATAGATCCACCAGGTGTGCCAAAAATTATGTTAAGCAAAAACTTAATTTTAACCGAATATAATTTCACTCAACTAATTATGTTTTTGCTTGTAGTTTAAACAAATCTTTTCATTTTTTCCCAACTGAAATTGGGTTGCGGAAAAAGACTAAAAAAATTACAATTTGATTCATATCAAACTGTCCAGTTTGGTTTAGTTGTTTGAATGGTGGGTTCAGTGCCAATTCACATAATAGGTGCACTGCGATTAGGAATAGCAACGGGCTGGGGCAAGGCTGGGATCACACTCACCATCCCTGATTCTCGATGGTGGAAATCCTCCCGTCCTCCGCATCAATCCCTGATGGGAACCTATCACCGTCCCCACCCCTGCCCTCTAGCCGGGATCGGGTTTTCCCGACCCCGAACATTCCTCTGCCCCCAAAAAAAAAAATGATCAGCATATGCAGTAGATAGAGCAGCAACAACAACAGAGCAACAACGACAACAAGAGATATCCTAAATGATCAACAACAACAACAGATAACGTAAATGATCAACAACAATAGCAGATAGAGCAACAGCAACAACCATCACTAAGCACATCCAAATATCCTCTGTCAATTTTTGGATTAATAGATCAAAATTGAAAGAAGAAAACACAGATCGATTAGTAGTTTAACGAGAGAGAGAGAGAGAGAGAGTACCCTTTGAAAATCGGTAGTGAGGGAGGAGCGAGCGAGCAAGCAGTGAGGGAGAGGGAGAGAGGCGATTGCCGTGTGTGGGGGAGCAGCAGCCGACGGCCGTGTGTGTGTGAGGAGAGCAGTGAGGAAGTAGCAGAGCAACCGACGGTGTGAACATAGTAGTTGACGGTGTGAGCAGAGCACAAACAGAAAGGCGATGATGTGTTGGTGTGAGTAACCAAACCCTAAAATAAGCCAACAAAGAGACACGCATACATATATATAGATAAGGTATCCTCAAAAAAAATATATAGATAAGGGTATAATCGTAATTTTACTTTGGGAGAACGGGGCGGGGTTGGGAGCGGGTTCCGTCGAGCCGAGTTCAAATTGTCATTCTTAACTGCGATCTGCAATTTAGTTCACAAATTTTTAGACACGATTTTGATTTGAAACGGAATTGAACCATTTATATATATATATACACACATCTAACTTATTTATCACACCTAAAGTACATGATTAGAACTCTACCTGTATATTGAATCTCATACCCCTTAATAAGGTCTCCTTAATATTTTAGTTTAAAGTTAAAAATTTATTAATAAAATTAAAAAGGCAATAATTTATATTTAAAAATTAAAGATTCATTTTTTTTTTTTACTTTTTGCATGTTTTTTTTGTAAAAAAAAATTAAAAAGTTATTTCAAATATATTAATTTTTTTACTTTATATTTTAATTAAAAAATTATTAAAATAATCTATTTTGAAACGAAGGCGATGGCGATTGTATTGAACAATGGTTGCTTGACAATACTCTGATTTGTGAGTTGGACAATTTGGTTGTTTAATTGATGTTTGAAAAATGCGGGCATGTTTCCTTTTCTTCTTTCATTTTGGAAAAGGAAAAGTGATGGATAGTATCTTTTCCTTCTTTCATTTCGAAAAAAGAAAAGTCTTTATTTGTGAGTAAGAACAATTTGGTAGTTTAATTGATGTTTGAAAAATGCGGGCACATTCTTTTTCTTCTTTCATTTTGGGGAAGGAAAAGTCTTGGGATCTCATAATTAGATTTTCAGAATTTACATAGAATAAATAGGTGTGGTGGAGATTAAGGGCTCGTTTGGTATAACTTATATAATCCATCTTTTTATTTTTTTTTTATCATATCACCTTCTATTTTTTTACACATCTTTTTGTAAAAAGACAAAAAATACACTCTTTTAGGACACTCCAAATCAACCCTAAATTAATAAAATGTAAGATTTACGAATAAAATGAATTTAAACAATTAATTGTTGTTTCCAGATGAATTCTAGATAGATAATTCTAGATTTATAATATTACTATTTTGAAAACTGACAGCTGATTACTGTTTTTGAAAAATGTCAATGACTTCATGTTGCTTTAATGTTTGAAAAATGATGCATTTTTGTTGATATTCGATGTATTGAACAAATTATGAATGATTAGGTTGGGGTTACATGACAAAACTCCATTAATCAATTTTACAATAGATATTAATTGAAGAGTCACGTTACAACTTAGGGTTGGTTTGGGGTGTCTTAAAAAAGTGTATTTTTTGTCTTTTTAGATTAAAAAAGACAAAAAAAAATATGGAAGTTTGGGTTAACTTTTTGATTTTTTATGAAAAAATATGTATTAAAAAATTGTATAAAAAAAGTGTGTAAGAGATGATAAGAGAGGAGTGGGCCCCAGCCATACAACCGGCTGTACAATCGGCAGACTCAATTGGAGTTGGAAACTATTGGCTAATTTTTGTACAAAGTATTGGACGGTTTTGTTTGGCCCGTGGGGGTCATCATGGGTCTCATTTTAATAATCTGAACTGTTCAATGTGTGTAACTCGTCGAACACTATGTACCTATAAAAAATCACGTTAATCGGATATCGATAGCTATCTGATCAGATCTATTTATTTTTCAATCATTAATCATAACACCATCCATTTGTTGTACATAACTGATTTGATCATATAGTTATCGATATCCGATCAATGTGATTTTTTGCAGACATATAGTACTCGACGATTTCTACACATTGAAAAACGGTTCAGATTATCAAAACGGGACCCGTGATGACCCCCATAGGACGAACAACGGTGTGTGTAAAAACCACACCCAATCATTTTTTTTTTCTCCACTGCCGCACACAGCAACTGCACACACATCAATTCGGTGTGTACTTTTTTTTTTGAAGAAAATTGATTTTTTAATATTTTTTTTTTGGTAAATAGTGATATATTTTTGGATTTTAGAGTAACTTTTTGACTTTTTGACTTATTTAGGATAAGCCAAACCAGCCCTTAATTAAAAGTATAAAGACTTGACCGTTACAATTAAAAAAATGAAAAATTAAAATGAAATTTGATATAAAATGCAATAGTGCCAAGTGTATTGTATTTTAAAAAAAAAAAATTATATAAAAAAGACAAATAAAATCTTCACAATTATTAACGATTTTAGATATGGAATAGATCCACACGGTGTGCCAAAAATTATGTTGAGCAAAAATTTATCAATTTCACTCACCTAAATAATATATCATGGGTTCATAGAGCATCATTATCAAACTCATAGCTATTTTATGGCACAAAATCATAGAAATACATTTTATGAAACTCAATTTTTGATTAGCTACTTTAATTGAGTATTAAACCATTAATCAAATCATTAGTTACATGTAGTTAAGGAAAGATGACTCAACAAATAATTTAAGGTAATAAAATACTTAAAATATTATATTTATCATTTAATCAATTATTATTATATTAATAATAAACAGGCGTGGTGAAATCATTAAACTAATGCAATTATAATACATGAGAAAAAAAAACATAATATGATAAATTAAGAAAAATTATTTATAAACAAAATTTGTATAAAAAGCTGAATCACAGTAATATAATAGTTTTGAAAATATAAGTTAGAATAATAAGGTATTTTAAATTGAGATAAACGGAACATAAAGTGTCACATCATTTTGTGAGGGGATATATTTTCTGAGTACCAACACGTGGCAAGGTGACGTCGACGTGTCAGCCGAGGTGCCACGTGTCCTGGTCGTGACGCCGAGGTAATCTTGGCAAGGCCGAGGTTATCTCCGAAGATATCGGAATCCGAGATAAGTGGATAAGGGACAAGAGTCCTACAATGAAAAGGGAACTCAACCTGGATGAGGGACAAGAGTCCTAGAATAAGAGAAGACTTCAGTTTGTATTAAGATAAGACTCTTAGAGAGTTTATCCTAATCTTACTGGGAGTCCAAGATTAGCGGTAATCCTGAGTCCATAGAAGTTAGGCTTCTATTGGGACTAGGTTTATGTTAGCTATAAAAGAGAGGCACCCCCATGGGTCTAAGGTATGCTTTTTAGGCTCAAACTTGTGAGTTGAATACTTGATTTATCTTTGAGAGATATACTGACTTGATCGTCGGAGTGCCCCCGGGTGGTCGAAACCGCCGCGAGATTCTTGTATTTCTGTTGCAGGTCAGTCAGGTGCCATCTATTCTGCCGGTACTCTCCAACTGGTTACTAAGCGGGCAGTGTGGTCAGAAAATCACCCACACAATTTGGCGCCGTCTGTGGAAAAGAAAGAAGAATAGATGGCCAATGACGGACAGAAGGATTAGACTGGAGACAACGCTCTTGCTGGGAATAGGAGATCTATCAACCTCGACGTTGAAGGGGACAATAGCAATACAAAAACTCGTGACCAGAGTCACGGAGTGAAAGAAGCCAGCCAGGAAAGTGACGCACCAAAGACAACAGATCGAAGCAACGAAGACAACCTCCAGGTATGGAAGGATAGATACCTGCGGAGGAACGAAGACCCTTCCAGAAGGGATGCAAAGACAGGGGGCATGAGCGCTCCCAAGGAAATAACATTCAAATATAGAAGAACTCATCCTGAGTGAGCAGATCTCGGATTCCAGATCCTAGATCCCGGATCCGAGAAGACATGATCTCAGCCTAGACAAGTAGGCCCGAGAAGACGAGAGCTCAACCTAAGTGAGAAAATCCAAGATTCCAGAAGATAAGATCTCGGCACTTGAGTCCGAGAAGAGAAGAGCACAATGAGCAGATCTCAGATCCCAGAAGATAAAAAGGAAACACACAAGATTAAACTAAAGTTGGCCAGAATTGAGAAGTATGCTAGGGCCGAGGAAGACATGCCGGGAACAAAGGCGTCGGAACAAGAAATGAGAAACGGCTCGCCGATGCGAGGCCGAAAATCAAACTCAGGTTGGAGCCAAGTAAGATCAATAGAGAAACCAAGGCCGACAACCTCGGCTTGAATTCAACCTCGGCAACAAGGTCGAAGATACATGTATGATGAGAACTCAAGTGGATTTTAAGTTCACACTGGGGGCGTAGAAAAGAAGAATGCGTTTAACACTTATTGAAATTTGTATACAATTTACAAGTTGGTTAAACGAAGATGATGTTTAACCGAAATTAAACCGAGATAATGTTTAACCGAAATTAAGCCGAGATAATGCTTAACCGAAGTTAAGCCGAAGATGATGTTTAACCGAAATTAAACCAAGATGATGCTTAACCGAAGTTAAACCGAGATGATGCTTAATCAAAGTTAAGCCGAAGATGATGTTTTACCGAAGTTAAACTGAGATAATGCTTAACCGAAGTTAAGCCGAGATGATGTTGAAACTTGAGAAGAGTTTACAAGATTGAAGACTATGGTTCCTTATCTTCACTTGTTGAAATTTGTAGCAATTTACAAGTTAAAGTTAGCTAAAATGGTTCCTTATTTTCACTTGTTGAAATTTGTAGCAATTTACAAGTTAAAGTTAGCTAAAATGGTTCCTTATTTTCACTTGTTGAAATTTGTAGCAATTTACAAGTTAAAGTTAGCTAAAATGGTTCCTTATTTTCACTTGTTGAAATTTGTAGCAATTTACAAGTTGAAGTTAAGCCGAGTGGTTCCTTATCTTCACTTGTTGAAATTTGTAACAATTTACAAGTTGAGGTTAAGCCGAGATAATTGTTTATCTTCACTTGTTGAAATTTGTAACAATTTACAAGTTGAGGTTAAGCCGAGATAATTGTTTATCTTCACTTGTTGAAATTTGTAACAATTTACAAGTTGAGGTTAAGCCGAGATAATTGTTTATCTTCACTTGTTGAAATTTGTAACAATTTACAAGTTGAGGTTAAGCCGAGATAATTGTTTATCTTCACTTGTTGAAATTTGTAACAATTTACAAGTTGAGGTTAAGCCGAGATAAT